CCCGCCCGCCGCGGCCCTTCGCCACCGGCCCCTCGCCCAACACCCGCCTGCAGGGGCCGGCCGCCCGCAGGCTCCGCCGGAGCCCCCGCCGCTCCTCCGCTCACACAAGCCCCCGGAGCAGAGCACGGCCTCCCCCGCGGGTGTCCCTAACGCCGCCATACCCCCGCCCGGTGCCAGCCTCCCCACAGCGCCGGGGGCACACACACCTCGGCGGCAGCGGCCTCCCTCCTGCCCTCCCTTCGAGCCGGCCCAACGGACAAAACGGCCGCGGAACCCTTCCTCCCCCCCACAACCGCCGGGGCGGGGGAAGGCCCCGCCAACGGCCCGCTCCCTAGGCGCGGCGACCGGGACCCCCGCCCGCCCTCCTCCTCGCCCGGCGCCTCCCGGGGCGCCGCACTCACCACGACGTGAGCGCCGGGCAGCTTGAGGGGCTTGGGGCTGATGAGCGGCGACACCATGTAGAGGAGGAGAACGAAGGCCACAATGAAGGCGACGGCCAGGAGCAGCATGGCTCGGGCTGCGCCGGCGGAAGCGTGGCGGCGAGCAGGGGAAGGCGGCGAGGGAGGCGAAGCCCCTCGGGTGGCGGCGGTAGCAGCTGCTCCCCCGGGAAAGGGGCCGCCGTCCGCAGCCCGGCGCAGCAGCAGCAGCAGCAGCCGCCCGCCTGCGCCGCCGCACCGGGGCTAGCGACGAGGAGGAGGAGGGTCCGGCCGCCACTCCGCCACCTGATTGGCTGCCGAGGGCGGGCGCGGGCCTGAGCCTTCGGATTGGCCAGCGAAAGGAAAGGAAGGCGCCCGTGGATTGGCCGAGGGGCGGGACGGCAGCCGGAGATTGGAGCCCGAGGGTGTTTTCAGGGTCACCGTGGCAGGCGAGGGGGCGGTGGGGAGGGGAAGGGGGTGCCGGCCCGATCCCCGCCTCCTCGGGGCGGGGCTGGAGCGCTGCGCCCTGCCGCCCTCCGCGGGGTCTCCTGCCCGGGGAGGGCGGGGACCTTACCCCGTCACGTGGGGCGGGCGGCGCGCGCCCTTCCCGCCGAAAGGGAGGAGGCGGGGCCGAGGCCGGGCCTGAGGCGAGCTCTGAGGCGAGGTGAGGTGAGGGGCAGCCGGGCCGGCTACGCCCCGGGGCGGGGGGTAGAGCTTCTCCGGGGGTGGCCGAAGGAGTGCCGCGGCCCTTGTGAAAGTGCCAGTTTCTTGGGAGAGCTCAGCTCAGTGGCTGTTCTCTTCCCTGGGTCTTGCCGCTGTGCGCCAGCTCGCTGTGGAGAGAGACGCCTCTACTCGGCGCTCGCCCCCTGTCCTGAGGCAATAAACGCCGGGTTTAGAGGAGGGGATTTAAAAAAAAAAAAAAAAAAAAGCAAGCCCTGTTGGTTAAGCTTGGCCGTGTTAAGTGCTTATCTTGGCTCCCTTGTGCGCTTCCAAAAACGTCTAAGGGCCTCTTTGTAGACAAAGTTTTTAATACATTGCCCGAGGTTACCAATTGGTGCAGTTTAAATGGCGGAGATGTGGCAGGCCGGCTCTCTGGCGGGCCAAAGCTGGGAGTCCTGCTCCAGTGGGAAAACACCCTCCTCTGTGCCAGAGAGGTAGCGAACACAAAACGTTCTGTGACATACAATTAACTGACTTTATCACGAGTGGGTTTTAAAGCCTATTTCGCATCGCCAGCCTCCAGTGAAAACCAGGTGTGGATTCTACGAGGTTGGTTTTTTGGAGCAGTTGGGCTCTGCCGGTTTGTGCTGGCTGCAGGTGGAGTTAAGGCTGCTCCTCTCTTCTGAAACCTAGATCTGAACATTGTTTTTTTCAGCATGCTGTTCCCTGCTGGGGGAAACTACAGGTTTTTCTTGTTACTTGCATGAAAAAAAAAAAAAAAAAAGATAAAAGCGTGGTTTTCAGCTTTAAGGCATAATGCTAGAACAAAGATTAAAACACAGAAACAAAAAACCCTTCCAGAGCAATCCAAATAAATAATTCCAGATATTTGACTTAGAGGTTTATTTTGTATAAATTCCTGCATTTGACTTTTTTTAAAATTTAAGATTTAATTGTTTGTAACTGAAAAACTCCCTCGAATTACTTTTTCTCACTAGTTATTATGCAGTTGTTGGCTTGTACAAAACAGTTTTAAAAAACAAACAAAACAAAACAGAAAATCCCAAAACCCCTAGGCAAGAGGGTGTGCAGAAGGGCGTGAAAATAATATTGGAGAGGAGATTAGAAGTAGCGAGTAGGCGGAAATGGGAACGGAGATGTGGGCAGGGATTATGCAGTTTTCAAGGTGAGAACAAAGAACCTGAATTTGGCGTTGTAAAAGGATGAGAAACCAAGAATTAGTCCTGCAATGGGATTGACCTGGAATATGTCTTTGGTGGCATTTTGAGTTCAGTGCTGCAGAGGCGGAGGTATGAGGAAAGAAGAGGAAGAAATCGTGCATAATAAGATGCCAGGCTGCTACAGTGACAACAATGGTAGTTGATTAGCCATCCATCTAAGAAAAGACAGCATGTTAATTACATTGTTAGCAGAAGTCAAAATAAAATGTGGACTGGAAAAGGCAGCAATCAAATATGGACATTTCCTTTCTTACATACAGGACAGTCTATATGTGTTATCTTTCCAACAATATTAAATTATCACAAAAGAGGAGATTAATCAGGTAATAACTATAGACTATTTATACTTTCAAAGCTCAAATGTCAGCAGTATGGAGATAAAGCAAAGCAGACAGAGATAAATCAGACTTTCACAATACAGTATCACTCTCATCATCAAGGTGAGGTGAGGGCATGGGTGCAAGAAATAATCTGTAGTAAATTTCTAGTAAAATTAAGGTTAAACATATTGGTAGGGGGCCTTTAAAAGCCTTGAACACATGATACAGTCCTGAGCAGTCACAGTTAGGATCACATCTTACTACATTTCAAAAGCCCTTCTAGACTAACATGGAATTCCCTTGTAGTGGATTTTTATGGAGAAATCCATACTGCTTTTTTCTTTCAGCTGAGAGGCCACCTTACAACCTTGGGGTTGGCAGTGCAGCTCTGATTGATGTCTGCTCTTGTTCTGTTCTCTGGACTGTAAAGTGTCATGTATTTCTGTGTGAAAAATACAGAGAGACCTTACGAACTGCATATAATTCACAAATTAATTCCCCAGCAGATTTTTTTGATTCTTTTAAAGTGTGCCGGCGGAAACTGAAGTTTGCCCTCCCAGAGTTATCTGCTTCGTATTCATCTCGCATGACCTCATTCATAGAGGAAACACATTCCTGGCCCAAGGAGTTGTTTACTATAAAACTATTTTCTCAATGACTGTTGAACTGGAAATTGAACGCTAATGTAAACATCATTGCTCTCCAGTCCAAACTGCAGTTGCACATAAAGCAATACTTAATTAATCCGACCTTCATAAATAACATTACAAAGTGTGTAATTTTAAGGAGCAAGCTGACCGTGGCTGTATATACTCTGAGAACTGAGAGGGAAAAAGAATGGATAAAACATGCTCATTGCTTTGTTAATTAATCATTGGAAGAAGCTTCAATGCAATAGTGATGTGTTTAGAGAAGGCGAGGGAATACAATACAAGTAGATGAAAGCAGCCGGTCTATAAGAGCTGTTGCAGCTGTGGTTTTCTGCTTCCTCAGTTTTGTTAATTTAAATCTTTCAACAGACTTGTGCAATAACAATATTGTGGGTTGTGATATTCAGTATGAACCAAAGCGTGGCAACTAAAGAATCAAAGTAGTCATTTAAACATGCAAACTAATTTGTGAATTGATAATATTACAGCACAAATGGCTGGTATTACAAGTGTCCTTTTCATAGAATCACTGAATACCAGGTTGAAAGGGACCTCAAGGACCATCTGGTCCAACCTTTCTTGGCAAAAGCACAGTCCAGAAAAGAAGGCCTAGTACCCCGTCCAGCTGAATCTTAAAAGTTTCCAGTGATGCAGACTCCACCACTTCCCTGGGGAGATCATCAAGGAGTGTCGCAATAAAACAAGGGGGTAATGGTTTTAAACTGAAAGAGGGGAGATTTAGATTAGATATTAGGAAGAAATTCTTTCCTGTGAGGGTGGTGAGACACTGGAACAGGTTGCCCAGAGAAGCTGTGGATGCCTCATCCCTGGAGGGGTTCAAGGCCGGGCTGGATGGGGCTTTGAGCAACCTGGTCTGGTGGTGTCCCTGGGTGTCCCTGCCCATGGCAGGGGGGGTTGGAAATAGATGATCTTCAAGGTCCCTTCCAACCCAAACCATTCCGTGATTCTATGATTCTATTATTCTGTTATTCCAATGGCTGATTGTTCCCATTGTGAAAAATTTTCCTCTGGTGTCTAGTTGGAATCTCCCGAGGAGTAACTCACACCCATTACCCCTCTCCTTTTCCATGCAACTCCTTGTAAAAAAAGGAGTCTCCATCTTCTTTGTAGCCACCCTTTAAATGCCAGAACATGGCGATAAGTTCACCCCTAAGCCTTCTTTTCTCAAGGCTGAACAAACCCAATTCTCTCAGCCTTTCCTCGTACAGCAGGCTTCCCCATCCTCGGATCATCTTTGTGGCCTTTCTCTGGGCGCTTTCCTCCCTGTTCATATCTCTTTTGCGTAGTGGGGAACAAAACTGAGCACGGTATTCCAGGTTTGCAGGTGAAACCTTCAACTTCTCAGTGCTGTGGTAGAGAGACCTTGGATGCCGTAACTCCTTTCTCCATCCTGGTGGCAGCTGCCCCCCTTTCCTCAGTGTCCTAGGGAAGAGCTGAACTGCTGAATGCATAAAGCAAGGATCTGCCATCCAGAGGGAGTGAAGAAGTTGTGCTTCAATGGGGAATCTACGCTTCAGGGGAATGGAAGAGGAGAAGACAGCAGTGCTGTGCTTACTGTAGGGTGGCACCTACCTCCCACTGGGAAACTGGATAATGAAAGAAAGGGAGGAGTCTGGCAGCCCTAAGAGACCCCACTGACCCCTGGTTTAATGAACTTGCAGTGCATATGATTATCATTATCCATTTATTTCCCCCCTGAGAACAGTAAGATGAAGATTACCATGATTTCACCAGCCCTTGCTCCCTACCCAGCTAGAAAATCCACAGCTGCTATGGCTTGCAATTACCATCTCTAAGCTGACATTGTGACACTGACAGAGAATTTCACCTGTGGAGGAATTAACTCCTTAGTCACTGTACATTTTTAGTTTTCGGAGAGTAATTCTAGGTGGACAGCTGAGGGAGGAATAACCACTGAAGCTATCACGTTGCTTGAGCAATGTTTGTATCGTGTTTTGCCTTTCCTCAGAGGCAGTCTTTCACCTGTTTCTATCATTATTACCTTCCCAGGTATGTATTTTCATGAACGCTTTCACTTTTTAGCCAGCTAGGGAACATTTTTACAATTATACTTCCAGCAACTTCTGGCCGCCTGTTTGTTTCACTTTATCTGATTTCTGCTCAGCAAATCTGCTCCCACCTAAGCCACTGTTGTTGTTTTTCCAAAATAGGCATAACTTTGTGCTTTATATCGTGCCTTTGGAAACATGTACCTCTAGGTAATCTTTGAAGATTGACAGGTCCTAAACTTCCGTGAGTTTGCTCTGCTTTGGGATTAAGGTACCAGTTACACCACCCCAAGTCATTCCGTGGAGCCGTGTCTATTATGCGTGTGTTTGTGTGACTCAATCCCATTACAAAAGGTTGAGTT